ATGAGGTGGAGTCATTTGCTTTTGAAGCAGAGGAGTTTAAGTTTGTTGCTTCACAGTTTAGGTACATTCACAGTAGACAGGTTCAGCACACATTCCGTTTCTATTCGCAGCCATGGAGGACGTGGACTGCTATCTACATTTAAGCTGCTTGGAGGCGCCATTGCATGAGAAAGATCGCAGAACAGCGCAGGAGGGAGGAAGAAGAATTGTATGATTCTGATAATGAAAACGGTGATGATTCAACCAGGGCCTTGATCAAGCATTCTAATTCTTCTTTTGCTGCTTCTAGCCTTGGACTTGGTACAACCGTCTACGCTTCTCGCTTTGCTGCTAATGCACTTCGTCATCATAGGCTCCGTGGTTCAGGTTCCAGGGACATGATCAAACTACAAAAGCCCCCAGAACCTGACTTCAGCAGTCTTAGTCTTGATGAAGACTGATCCTCCTCTTTCTGTGGACAAATTGCAAAATCTATTGTGTCCTTCAGTAGAATACTATTTGCACTTGCAAGACACTTTTTGTCAGGTCATATCACTATCAGTGTTAGCTTATATAGTGTCACAATTTTGGTTGGGGTGACCAAGAACATATAACGTCTGTAAATTTCAAAATATTTTTTTGGGGCAAATTTCAAAATATTTTAAAATTTTAAAAATGGCTTTGATAGCATAAGATATGTTTATTATTAAGTGTAAAAGAAGTGCAGAGGATTAAACTCTTCCTGACTCCTAAAGTCAGCCTAGTAATGAAATTGTTATAGTATACTGAAGCTCTTACGTTTGAACCTTTGTGTCATTAGAGTTAATATTGTAATTCTTCCATAAAAAAAATACTGTGCATGGGACATTACTTTCACGGGCACGAATCATATTCGGTATAACCCTAAGTCATCAAATAAATTACAATAATGTGATTCATGTGCATTCTTCTTGTCGCTTACATACCAAGCAAAGTAAATTATCTTTGTATCTGTGATGCAACGTGTAAATCAAACACAATACAGATTGCATAGTCTAACAGTGTACTACTCAACTCCGCCATGCAGAAGATGCTTCTTAATCAAAATCTTCTTCCCACCACTTGCTTGCCTGTAATATCACACAATACAGGCAAAAGATTTATAACTGAACTAGAGACAGACCAAATAAGATTTAAGATCTCATAATTAATCCACTGTAGCAGGAAATTGAGTCAACTCAATGCTTAAACAAAACATAGTGAGAATATGGTCATTTGCATAAATAGTTAATATAAAAAAATCACTAATTAAGCCTGTTGGAATAATAAAATAATGAACAACAAAACCCACAATAATTTGTTAAATGTATCTCTTCTTAAATTTTAGCCTAAATTATATTTCTATCCTCTGTATTTATTTTTTAATTCAATTTAGTCATATTATTTTTTAAAAATTCAATTTGGTCCTTTAATTTTTAAAAAATATTTAATGTTGTCATTTCGTTCAAATTGATACTAATGATGTTAATAAATAAAGTTAGGTAAAAAGAACATTTAACATTTTTTTGAAAATTAGAGGACATTTAACATTTAACATCCAAATCAAACATTTTAAAAATGGTGGGATCAAATTGAACATTTTAAATGATTCAATTTAATGTTGTTACATAAACTGGAAAAATAGTCTTCCTAGTCAGGTCTAAAGCAAATTTATCAAGTAAATGGTATAACGATAAAGCCCACAACTTCTATATGTAAAAAATTGTAGTGACTTCAAGTCAAATAATTACTGTAATATGGTTCATATATATAAGAAACACTTGTGACAATCGCATAACTATTACAAAGTCTTCTCATAGTGGATCTATCCCACAAAAATATTACTCTTAATATTTATATTTATATCCCGACTTGATATCTTATATCTATGACTCATGAAATGTGGTTGTTAGTTAACTCACACAATAATCTTGATATTATTATCATTTTACTAAACAATAATACTTGATTACGTACACTTTAAGAATATCTTTTTTAATCGATAGAATCTCATAATCAAACCACGCTAAATGTATTTTTGAATGAACAAACTATTCTAAAAATATTATTATGTTATTCAATAAATAACATAACTAAAGATGCTTTTTATATAAATAATCAAATATTTATACATTAAAGTCATGAAACAAGTGGAAGGATTCACTATAAGAAAAACTCAAATTTCCGACGGTTAATTCTGTCGGAAATTTTTTTTTTTTTTACGGATTAAATTCCATCGGAAAATGTATATTTCTAATGGAAATTTCCGACGGATATAAATTCGTCGAAAATTTCTGACAGATTTTTCTGTCAAAAATTTTTTACGGATTTTTCTGTCAGAAATTTCCGACAAACCGTCAAAAATTTCGTCGGAAACCCTGAATGCACTATTTAATATTTTCTTTATTATATGGGTGTTTTTAAAATATAAATATATATATTATTTGTAATGAATAACATAAATACAATGAGTGAGTGACATATATTATTTTGATATATATATTAAATCATAGTGTGCATGATATTTAATTTAATATATATATATATATATATATATATTTCAAAAGTTGAAATGAAATAAGAGATCAAATCTATTGATATTTGTATATTAATAATTTATTTTCTCTTAATATATAGTATATAAATAGTATTATCTTATATAAGTAGTAATTGTATGTGCCACTATTAACAAATAAATAAGAAAATTAATACTCACTTAAAAATTTGAGAATATATATACAACGTCATTTAGAAAAACTTCAAGTAGGGGTCAATGTAATTTTTCTAGATTAAATGTTCTTTATTTAAAAATTAAGACATTATAGTTAAAATAATTACACTAAATAATTATTTTTGTTCCTAATCTTGATTGATTTAAAAAAAATATCTCTCCAAGTTGTAGTAATTTCTTAAATTTGCATTTTATTAATTGATTTATGAATTTTATATTTAAGTAGTAAATCAGTAAAATATAGGTAATGAGTATAAATATATGAGTATTTAAAAATTCAATGAATCTATATATAAAAATTAGAAATAAGTAGATTGTTAATTATAAAGGTAAGTATATAAATAAAGATTAACTAAATATATATATTATTATTCATAATATAATTAATTATCGAGCAGTGTGTAATACTTAATATATAAAAGTTACACCCGGTATCAATGTTAGTATAACCTGTTTTTCTCTATATATAGAGAGAGACAGAGAGACTGAGAAAATGAATGGAAGAAAAATAGTTAAATATATAGTTGTTTGATTATCTATATAGTAATTAATAGATAAAGGGAAATATATATACGTCATCTTGTAACTGATTTTTGTCTCCAAAATAATGGATAATTATATACCCTTAATTCTTAAGAAATAAATAAATAATTTTTAATTATTAGTTTTACTTTTTATTAAAAGATTTAAAGACATGAAGTGTATAACGGTATGTGATAACCTAATTTTATATGAATAAGGATCCTTTTACTCCAACAGTAAGTTTACTTAGACTTACTTCATTCAATAACTCATGTTCAACATTAAATTTTAACGATCAAACTGTTGAATTTAAAATTCTTAATGCATAGATCAAGTCTGCAAATTTTTAGAAAATTTGAAAATCATTTGATACTTCATTTCATTAATTCAAATTGACGGATAATCATAGAATCATTTTATACATTGATTAAAATTAATGAAATGAAGTATCAAATGATTTTTAAATTTGCTAACAATTTACATATTTGATCTATGCATTAAGAACTTTAAATTGAACGGTTAGATCATTGAAATTTGATAGAGAAAATGAGTTATTGAAT